AGTCCTTGGAAAAACTTCACTTATTTGCAATCTCTGTTTCAGCTGTTTTGGGAACTGAGGATGCAACTACTTTTTGAAACATTTTACTGTCGCCAGGACATCACTTCTAACTCATAATTTTAAAATACATGAATTTCCAATTGCTCTTTAATAAATAAAAAAAAAAAGGAATTTGAAAACCACAAAGAATTCATTTTACATAATTCTGAATATTCTCTTCAGACAAAATGGGTATGCACACAATAGCTGAACTGTTCACTGTTCAGTACTTCCATGAGCAATCTAAATATTTATATAAACCATGCATATTTTTAAATTCTTAATTTTAAGATCTTGGTTATATAGAGGTTTGAGATATTTAATTCTGAGGGAGTGAATAGTTGTACTGAAAATCTATTCAGGATCCAAATGTTGCAATCTATTGTTTGCCTTCCCAGTGCAAACATCTCTATTAGTGCAGTGTGTGTTCACAGAATAGGACAGATAATTAAAAGAAAAAAAAAAAGGCAGCTGGACATAAAGATGCAAAGAAACCCTTTTTTTCTCCCACTGATTAAAAAGATAATTTAAAATATTAGCAACACTGCAAATATATGGATTTCTTCAAAGAGAATTATATCGGTTCCCTGTGACAGATCTTACTTACTGTTATTGTAACTCTAGTAAACTGTCTTCAAAAATATTATGCTTTAGGAACATGAAGAGTAATGTTTTACCTGTAAAATAATCTCTGAATTCTTTTATCTTGACTATTGGCTACTTTTACGGCATCCCCTTTCTCTCGATCACCTTTAATTTATTCCTTTTTTTTCTATGTGAAGAGGAGTCGCATAGACCAGAAACGCCTTTCCATTGCGTTCAAAGCACCAGAGAACAGAAGAAACAAAGAGCTGGAGAGCAAAGGCATTTACATAATTTGGTGAATATTAAAGATGATTGTTTTTCATATTTACAGATAATCGACTGCAAATAAATAATCATGTTTGTCATTGATACATATGTATGTATTCATATATGCTGTTCCACTTTACTACTAAACTTATAAATTATACAAACAGAAATTGGGAACAATTTTTGATTGACAATTTTACATTCTCCAGATTGAATGACAATGAATCTTGGAAGAAATCTTTGAACACTGCAAAGATTCCAAAATTTTGATTCCTACATCATACATAGAAATCCAGCTTAAGAAATACATTCAGAAATTGGAGAACTGACGATATTAAGGGGTTAAGGAGATTTTTTCCTCTCATGTGAGGATATAAGTGATGAAAACACATATCTAAAAATCAATTATGGAGATGAAAGGAATGACTGCCTAATGTCACAGCTGAGTACACAGTGGCTACACACGTGATGAGCTGAGATGGTGGGCTATCAAACAAAACATGTTGCCCTCAAAACACCCGCTTCACCTGCTTTATTGACTTACGTTCTGCCACTGTATTATTGATTCTTTAGTGTAGACACTGGTTTGACTAATCTCTATTATGCATTTACTACATTAAAACACCCAGATCAGCTACAGGTCTGTAATCCAATAGTTAGTTGTTAATTCACAAAGAATATTTACCAAAAAAAAGCGCATTAAAAACATCAAGACAGAAAATGGATCAACAAATATCTAGTTTATTCTGAGCTATAATAACAATAATTATTATTGCTACTACTACTACAACAATACTGGTGCATATGAGCAATGGCTTAAGCAATTAAATGCTTCACAGAACCCTGTTTGAACAAAACGCATGTGAGATTTTTAAGCCACCCTTCTGTGGTTCATGCCCAGGACAGAGCTGTTCATGCAGTTCCTTCCTCAAGGTTTCAAGGGAAACCACTGTGAAAATTCATGCTGATCAGCAATTTTATGGTCTCACTCGAGAAATTAAAAGTCACTGAGAACCTGCCCTCTGAAAAACATACAACCAATCACACATAAAACTCTGGCTTATACTTCTCCTGTGAGGACAACAGCTAGCAATTTTCTCAACTGTTCAAATTAAATTTAAGAAAATAAGCCCAGCCTGGTTACAACACAGCCACTGATCAAGAGTATATTGGCATAAGCATACAGGCTTGACCATTCAGCCCCAATCCTCCCATTTTCTGTCCTCTGCCCTCATCACAACTAGCAATCAGATCACAAATTGCTGAGCAAAAGCCTAATGTTGATTCTCTTGCAGGGAAGGAGGTGATGCCGGCAACCTTGGAATTTGCATCTAACCACTGATTTAGGCTGTTGTTATTTACATTTTTAAGTGGGGAACCTGAATGTCAAAAACATTGACATGATTTTTTCAAGAACAGAAATTCATGTGTGAAATCCAGGACAGAGCTGAGGAATTCTGATTCTTACGTCAATATTAAGCATCCACTCAGAACAGACCAGGGCAAACTGCCTCACTCTTCTGCAAAGTGAAAGTACTTTTTGTGATTTCACTGCAAGAATTTACCAACTCCACTTCATAGCAAGTGTAATACATGCAGTCGTTCTTTTAATATTCACCCATAAGCTTATCTGCTGATGATGACCAAGTTATATAAGCAGTTTAATAAAGTGGTGTAGTCTGATCAACAGTATCTCATGCACCCTTTGATATTTTAAACGCACATTACACAAACCGAGTTCTGGAATAAGAAATAACCTGCAGGAGTTGACATGAATTTCAAAAAAAAAAGCAACGTCAGTTGCAAATAGGAACATGAAAGCTATATCAGGTCAGGCCAACAGTCCATTCTGTCTTTGATAGCATCCAACAGCAGGTGCCAAGGAAAGGGGAAGCACATTGGACTATTTCTCTGGTACAACTTCCAGAAGACTGACGGCTCTCGGTGCTTCCTGAGCCTTTAAGCAGCACATTCATATTTTATAGCCCCTGATGGATTTCCGCTCCATAAATCTGCCTTATCTTTTTGCAAACCCCTGTAAACTTTTAGGAATCTGTGACATTTCCAACTAAGTTTAAGACTACATTAAAATACTTTTTTTGTTTTGAAACTGCTGCCTATTAGGTTAATTTGCTTTCCACAGGTTTTGCATTAGAAATTACACTGAGGAATCTGTCCATTCAACTCAGTTTTGCAAACTGATATATAGGCTTTTGTCATTATTTCCCCAACCTCCTTCTCCCATCAGCTTGTCTTCCCACTTCCGCTTTATTTACTGCTTTCTATGTGGCAGAATCTCAGACCTGTGAAAAACTTTCTATATCTTTTGTAGCTTTACTGTACCTTTTCTGAGAGGTGGTCACTGCTAGACCTGCAGACCCCATCCAAGCAGCAAGAGTGAGAATCACGGCAGACATTTCCAAATGGTTACTAAATCTTATGGGATTTTGACCACTGGAAGCACAAAGCACTGAGATTTCACTGAGCATCTGTTGCGACTCCAAGGTCTTGCTCACAAACGGCAGTCATTTGTTGAGAGCCTTTTATCCCATCTAAACACACAGTTTTATCTCATGCATCAACACGTATCCATCATTTTACTGCTCTCTGTAGGAATTCAAAGGCTGTTCTGCAACCTGACAATTATTTTTACTAACCTGAATAATTCAGTACGAACAACAGATTCTACTACTCTGCTATCTGCCCCCTTTTCCAGACTATTTCTGACTATGTTTAACAGTACTGACCTTCACACAAATTCCTGTACAACCCTACCTGTTATGCCAATACATTGAAGAAGACGGTAATTGATTCCTACCTTTTCTTTCTTATCTTTTCAATGGGCATCCATCCATCTGAAGGTTGTAACCTTTCTCTCATGACTGCTGAGTGTTCTAAGACCCTTTGATGAAAGCTCTTGCCCAAACGCCTTTTGGAAATCCAGATTCATCAACCCAGCTTGCCTTGACCAGGTGTGGCCATTTGGCTCTTCCAAAGACTGCCACAGATTTCTGAGGCATGATGTCCCTCCATAAAAAATGGTGCCAATGGTTCTCTGGTGCATCGTATTTTTTCCTGTTCCACTCGCTCTTGTCTTTGTTATTCTTCTCATGGATTCCATCCACATACACATGGACCTTAGAGTGTAGACCTCCAAGAGTCCTCTTGGAGCCGTTCAGGTTTTGGCTACAGGTGGCACCCCCAAGGACCACCAATGCCATCTGTAGCAGGTGGTTACATGGCACGCTCAGCAGCCCAAATTCCTCTGTGACTCCTGGATAAACAACATCTAATCTTGCCAATTTCCTATTACTCATTTGCTTTTTACCTTCTTCCATGACTTCAACTGGAAACAGCCCCTCCAACACTTTTCTCCAAACCTCCCTAAGGCCCCCTTTGACAAACAGAGGGTTTTTCGTTACAGCCTTATCTTCCCAGAGCTCCTTTCACCCCATATTGGAGCGGACATTCAGACTCCATGGCAGGATCCTGGTGCTTTAAGAACAACATTTATTGCTACTTTTTAGGTCTTTTGCAAGTTGGTCCTCAAAATCTTTCCCTTTTTTTTGGGGAGGGTGGTGGTGGTGGTGGGGTTGGCCATGCTCTACCCTGGCGTTACACTCCAGCTGCCCAGGTCCAGTTTCCTCCTTCAGATCCAACTCCAAACCCGCTGCCTGTGCTTCTGCTACCCCTTTCTCTGCCTTTTTTTAAGCACCTCAGCTCATTTTGCTCTTGCGAATATGCTTTTTTTTAATCTTTTTTTTTTTTCCCCCCCGCCTTTCTTGGCCAGAATTCCCAAAGCAAACGTGAGGTTTGGGCGAGCGTGAATGAGAGAAATGCAAGGAAACCCCCAAAAACGGGCGTCTCGGGGGAACTTAGCTCTTGCTCCCGCCCTTCCCTAGCGGGCAGCGGGCAACGGGTGACGGGCACCGCTCCGCCAGGAACGGCCGCCCTGTGGCCCAGGGGCGTCGCCGGGCGGCGGGGAAGGCGCTGCCCGGGGCGGCGGTCGGCCGACCCTCCCCTGAGGGAAGGGGGCGGCCATTCCGCGGCCACCTCCCTCACGGAACGGGGCGGCGGCGGCGGCGGCGGCGGGAGGCGGGGCTGCCCTCAGCCCACCCCGCGCGCGGCCCCGGCGGAAGGAGCGGCCTCGCCGGCTGCTTCCGCCCGGTTTCGGTCAGACGCCGCCGCTACGCTGGGTGTCGGGGAGCCTGCGGAGGGGGAAGGTGGGGGCCTCAGCCGTGGTGGCGGCGGTGGTCGTGGGTGGTGGTCGCCCTGCCGCCCGCCCTGCCGCCCGCCCTGCCGCCTCGGGGCGCCGTGTGGGGCGGGGGCAGCGCGGAGCGGGTTGAGTCCCCGCTGAGGGCGGGTGGCGGGGCTGGACGGGCCCCTTGCGGGATGCTGGGCCGGCCCTCCCCTCCTTTCCCTCCCTTCCCTGCCCTCCTTTTCCTTCCCTCCGTTCTCTCGCCGTGCCCGCCGGGCGGTGTCGGTCCTCGGGCCTCGGCGCTCCCTGAGGGGCGGCAGCCGCTCACCCGGTGGCGGGGCTGGGGGGTCTCCTCGCTGGGCCGTGAGGGGTGTGTGTGTGTGTGTGTGTGTGTGTGTCTGTCTGTCTGTCTGTCTGTGCCCCAGGCCTCGTGCAACGGCCGTGGAGAAATCAGGTTTATACACCATACACTCGTGTTCTGTGTTCCACGGCGATTTCTAGGCGTAAGGTTAAGGATGGAGTAACCCATCCCACCCAGTAAGCAGTGCTTCCTACCCGCTCCCCTGACTTGTTTTTCCTTGGCTTGGGAGGAGGCCTGAGGAAACAAGACCTTAAGCACCATCTCCTTTTCCAGAAAACAGCTGCGGTGATGCTACTTGTAGTGTTTTTTCTGTGTGTCAGTACTTGTTCCTGTGAAACATCGCTTGGAGCTGACATGCTTGTTATCTAAGCAGCAAGTTATAAAGCAGGTAGGAAGAAAAAATCCATTACCTGAAGGGTCTCTAAATTAAGAATATAAGGTTATGGATTCTTAAATGCTGGAAGTGAGGTGAGATTTGTAAGTGGAAAGAAGCGTGTTTCAATAGAGGAGCTAATTGGTTTGGAAAAGCAGAGAGCCTGGCAGGCGTACACAGCCCTCCTTCAGGAACCCTCTGTCTGTCTGACAGGTTTCCTCTCGGTGCTGGTCCCTGAGCATCTCCGCTGTCAGTAAGTGCAGGCTGGAAGATAGCTGCTATGAAAGAGGGAAGAATGCCTGTGCCAGACAGGAGGTGGGCAGCAGGTTCAGGAAGTGATGTAAACAGTGACAGAGTAAATGAAATCATGATAGCAATGAAGCACCATTGAGGTGTGACAGTTGTCAAGGGCTTTCTTACTGGTAGCTGTTATTGTGTTTGCAAAAATGATGAAACAGCACCTTTTCTTGCAAATTAGGTGTAATATTAAAGCTTTATCATCAGAAGACTGGAATGGCTTGAATAATGCAGACCCGTATTTTTAACGTGCAGTGTGCTCCTAGCCCTCTGGGACTTCATGGTATCCAGTTAAGGTCTGTGAGTGCATCTGCATGGACCTGTTGCAGAATCTGGATATGAATTTGTATTCTGTGTGTCTCGGAGACTAGATGCCTTCAATTATTAATTAGGATTATTGCAGTTGGCTGTTTTCTTGTGGCACTTGCTTATGTTGTCAGTCAGAGAAGTGGCCACACATTTACAGAACTGGGTGACAGCACTAACATTTAATATTTTCCATCATGGAAAATTACTAGAAGGATTGTGTAAAAGCAGTTGAAGTCAGTGATCTTTCAAGAATCTTTGACACTACCCTAAGCAGATGCTTGTGAGAGAGGCAAGCACATATGATTCTTCTTTACCTAGTCCTGCTGTATAAGTATCTACTCAGCCTGCAAAAAAGTGCAGCCCAGGAGCTTTCTGGAACAGAGCTACTGAAGACTTAAAGTTCCACGGTGGATTTCTTCTCCATCAACTCATCCTTGCCTTGCCTCCATCTGTGTGGAACTCTAGTGTTCGCAACGCCTTCAAGTAGTTCTGTGGGTCAAATATGCACTAACTGGGAGGCACCCCCATTGGTTTTGAACACGTTTTATGCTACTTCTACTTGGTATTTCCTACTTCTTAAATTAGAAGAGACACTGATGGGTTATTACCTATTTATCTGCTTGATGTGGTTCACAGAGGCAGTTGCAATAAATTGTGTATGGGTAATGGTAAAACGTAATTTCCAATATGACTGCCAAGCCAAAAAATTTACCAGTAAATTTGACAAGATCCACTCTATAGCTTCCTCATAGCTCTTACAGGTCTTATTATTTGGGGTTTTGTTTTTTGGGGGGGTTCTTTGGATAGCTTTGACTGCTTTCTAATTACATTTTTGCCATTATTATAATGAAGGCATCTTGTCTGGAAAAAGGGGTAGTCCCCATTTTGGATAATGTGTAGGTTATATTTACCAAGTATTAGGATCAGAATTTCAAGGTTTAAGCTTTAGCAATGTACATTGGTACAGAAAACATGCATGCAGGATATGAAGGACAGGTAATTCTTGCTTATTTAGATCAGGCATGTTCCTAATGGCGATATATCTATGTTTTTTCTCCTTTTGATAAACCACTGTATAATACTGTGAATTTTCAGTAAAATGCTTGACTAAATTTGATTCCGGCTTACACTTTGAATCATAACATTTAGATATCCAGTAAGGTTTGTAAAGAGGTTACACTGGGGAATTAAGCCATTGTGATAAAAGAATATCCATAATAGGAAAAAAAATGTGTAATATGAAAGGTGTGAACTTAACAGAGGTTTAAGCTTGAAACAAATTAAAGTTTTCACACAGATATACTAGCCTGAGTACATAGTGGAGGCGTGAAATGAATGAGAGAACTAGGTTTATTTACCTGGCTAGGATTGCCCAACCACCTAATGCAGCTGTGCATTGTGTGCTGAGTGCCCTGTTATCATGTCTTAGGTAATCCTGATGTGCCAGACTAGATGTGCCATGTCTAACTAGAGATGTTACAACTCCAAGTATGGCAGGATTTCTTTCCTCAGTATCCTCATTTCTTTTCTCAGTATCCTTGCTTCCTCCTGCTGCTGCCAGTAGCTGTGCCGTTCTTTTGGTTCTGTCCTTTTTCCATCTCCTGCTTCTGTTTAGATCCTGTTCCTGTTATCCTTTGTTTAGACAGATTGTTTACTCAAATTTCTCATTTAAAAAACCAAAACCTTTACTGATGCAAACTTTTTGCGGAAATCCAACCCCCCCGCAAATTTTGCCTCTCCATAGAAAATGTAGCACTAATTGGAAATAAAATTAGTATCAGATGATAACTAGATTATTTGCACCTAGGATGAACATGGGCTATGTTTACGTATATACTTGTACGTAGTCATGTGTTGTCAGGGTTTGGCAGGATTATTTTGATGGGAGGAGCTGGGTCACTGTGCAAAATAATAATACTTAAAGGGTTACTCTCCTTCTGAGGAATGAGCTAGTAGTGTTTCCAGCACGGTGAATTGACTTGGCTCCTCTTGTCACTAGAGCTGTAGGTCTGTCTGTTGGAGTGCTGGTGTGTGCAGACCTTCCTGCAGCCCTGGTGCTGGGAGAAACTGTTTGGCTGCTGCACTGCTTTCTGCAGCCTGACAGTTCAGCTCCCTGTCCCATCCACCTGACCAGCAGAATGATGAACATCACCATTGCTGCTTACTGAGACGGACTTGGACTCCAGGCCTCATATTAACAGTATAAACAATTACATTACTGTAGTGACTCAGAAAGGGATCTAATGCTATTTGGTATTATTGTTTGTAGTCTCTTGTTTACGTCTCCTGTTCATTGATTCTCCTGTTTGATTTCCCTTGTCCTTTACATGGAGCTGCACAGAGTCTATTTGTTTTCACATCTCTGTTTGCAATGCCTTCCTACCCTGTTTAGGTTAGTAAATGAGTATCGGAATGTACAGCTGCTGCAGTAAACATAAGGAGGCGGTTGTAAGCAACAAACACAGGCTAAGAGATTACTGGAGAATGCTGTTGTAATTAGTACACTGGTCTACTGTAAATAAACAAGTGTTTGGACTAATCCCTTTATGTCTTTATTCAAAAAGCTAGAGCTAAGTTGAAGGTGAGATAAACGGTTGATGTAAGAACACATACAAGTTGAAAAGCGGGGAAAAAAACCAAAGTGTTTTGAATTCAGAGCATATGTTAGACTAAGGGAGAACAACTAACGTGGAAATATGGAAGAAACACATAGAAATAAGGGATAGTTCCATAGGGAGATTCCTGCTGAACAGCACAGTGAAGGATGAGGCAAGCCAAATCAAGGACAGCATGATGCTAATTGGATTGGTGTATTTTTTTTTTGCTTTGATATCTGCTTCTTGCTAGTATTCATTATGCTCTTTGAGCTTTGCCTTATTTAACAAGAACAAAGAATAGTGCTCTTGATTGAGTAGCGAATCTTATTCTGATAGGAGGCGGAAAAGGAGTTATTTAATATCAGATGAAGTAGCAATTGCTTTTTACTGCTGCTGAAAGATGGAAGTTTCTGCAAATGCTGACTTTTGGGTGTGGTGGTTTGAATGCGTATATAGGGTACTGTTACTTTAAATTCTTCTATTTTAGTGTTTTGTTGAATGTTGTCCAGTTTACCTGTATGACTTACACAGCTGTCCAACAGAAATGTGGGGCTTGTAGTTTTTTTGATGTAGGAGAAAAAATAAGAGCATAGAACATACAGTTGCAGAGCCAAATAGTTCTTTGACTTTTTTTTCTTTTGAGAAGGTGCAAAGTTCTCGTTTTCCCTAGAGACAGTAGGAATCAGATGGCAAAGAAGCATCATCTTTGTTTAGTGAGCAAGTATTTTTTCAAAACCCTTTGACCACAAGCAAAACATTTTGCATGTGCGTGTTTTTTCTCTCTCAATACCATTTGCAATTTCTTCTGGTGTGTCCTTGATTATCTGTTCTTTGACTTTTTTGCAGTATTTCTGCTATTTCTCACTCTCCTATTGAAGCAATACCCTATGAGAGGCCGTGTTAAGTCTTCTTGCGCGTAATTAAATTTTGAATGTGCTCTGTTTTGGGTGGTGGCATATGCTGAAGTTTAAGGCCACTAATGTTTCTTTTCTATGTACCCAAACATAAACGTGATGAGTTCTTTTTCATATAGTATAGCATTCCCACCTCTAACTTCAGCAAGATTTTGATGCAGTCTGTAGTCGTGG